TTTTTTTTGGCAAGGAGGACAGAAGGGGCAAGAACAGCACAGGAAAACAGGGTAGGGCAGGGGAGGGGTCCTGGGTCCATTCTGGGAAGGCTGAAATTCTTGCCTCCCCCAAGAAGAAAGCTAACTCCCTTAGGGGGAATCAAACCCCACCCCCAGCCAACCACACCTTCTTCCCATCATTAACTGTGGGGTAGCCTCCCCACCTTGATGGCAATCCCAGAGACAAGGAGGAGAAGGAGACCCAGGGGTCTAGTCTTCCAAGCTCCTCTGTGTGTGTGTGTGTGTGTGTGTGTGTGTGTGTGCTTGAGGGTATTTGTGCATGCCTGTACCTTTGAGCACCCCTATCTTGGAGTACGGGGGGAATGCTGGAGAAAATGGTTTCCCAGAAACAGTCCAGGACCAGTAGTAGGAGTCTGGAGGGCTGATTTCTTGCCCTGCTTCTTGGTACTAACTCAACCAAATAATTTCCCCTGTCTAGGCCTCAGTTTCCCCACTTGAAAAACAAGGAGTCTGGCTGAGACAGTCTCTGACTCTTTCCAGGGAGGGGAAGTCAATGCTGGCTAGGAGCTTGATGGTGATGGTGGTGGTAGCGGCAGCTGGGTACGGAGGCTCCCCCAATCCTTCTCCCCCTGGTCTGGGGAATCTTGGACAGGAAGTGGGTGGGGCAGGGCAGGTGTGTGTGAGCAGGTCTGTGGTCCCTCCCTCCTTGCTCACCAGGGGACCTGGGGGGGGGGGGCAGCCTGTGGAGGGCGGAGCTGGGCCCCTGCCTGGATGGGGAGATGGAAAGCAATCAGAGCCAGGCGGAGCAAGAGCTGCTAAAACAGGTGAGGAGCCCGAGGTCCCTCGGCCCTCAGTGGCTGACTTTGGCTCATCTCGGGGTCTTGGGGTCTCTGGGGAGAGTGTCTGATCTCTTCCTCTGCTCTTTGGTGATTTCTTTGGTGTCTGTCTTAATGTCTGAATGTGTCTCTCACTGTTCTCAGTCTCTCTGGATCTGGTGCCTTTATCTCTCTGCTCCCCCCCAATCCTCCCCCTCCCCACACACATACATACTCACTCACACACAGGCACCTTCCCTGTCCTTGGCTCTGCATTCACAGTTCTGGGCCAGATCAGGCTGAGATGGGAAGGGGAGGGAAGGGAAGGGGAAGGAAGGGGAAGGAAGGGGAGGAAAGGGGAGGAAAGGGAAGGGAGGTCTCTGGCTACAATCAAACACGCAGAGACCATATTAAAGAGAGAGCAGACATAGACCCATTCCCTCATTCACCCCCAGAGCTTTTTTCCTAGGCACCCGTCTCCCTCACGAATTCACACAACAGCCATACCCACAGACAGCACCCCGCCTCCCAGCACACACAGAGGCCCTCATCCATTTTAACCTGTTCTCACCTTGAGGGCTGGTGGGAACCTGGAGCAGCCCGGGGACTCAAGCATCCTGCCCTTCCAAGCCTGTCACAGCTCCGCCCTCTCTATCCCTCATCATCACTCTTACCCAAAAGCCCCTCCAGCTGCCCCCTGGGGTCGGGTGGCAGAGACTGGATCTGGGGGGATTGGGGGTCGGACTGAGCTCCGCACATGTCATAGGGCTTTCTCCTTTCCAGGCCCCTAAAGTAGAGGAGAGGGGCTGGACCCCAGGATCCCCTCTGTAACCAGCATGCTGAGAGTTTCCACGGTGTCAGGTAAGGTTCCCACCACCTGTATGGCATGGCCAGGGGGGCAAAGGCAAAGAGAGAGGGGAGGCAGTGAGGGACAGAAACGGCATAGGGTCTGTTTGGGGCCCATTGATTTGAAGGCTTAGGGGGAGGAGTGTGGGGAGGCAGTCAAAGAGCCCAAGGTCAGGCCACTACCCCACCCAACATACCCAATTGTCTCAGCATACCTTGTCCTACCTAGATTCCATTCTCCTAGGAGTTGGAATGTGGTGGAGGCCTATGGCCACTCCAAAATTTGTTGGGGGTGGGGTAAGGTAGGAGCATAGTGTGAGAAAGAAAGATTCTAGAAATGTGGATTCTTGTTCCCCACACCCCAATGCACAATGGCAAAACTCTGCCTCTTGTCCTGTCTACCCAACTTTAATGGGATGGCAGAGATGAGGCATGCCTACTAGGCAGATGTGAAGTAGGTGGGCATGCAGACTAATGTGTGTGGTGTATTGGATTTGGACCTGGGTTCCAATCCTGCCATAGCTACCTCCTACCTAGGTGGGTTTGGGCAAGCCCTACCTGGGGCTCAGGCAAGCCCTACCTGGGGCTCAGTTTCTTCCTCTGTAAAATGAGGAGATTGGACTTGGATCCTATGAGTGATGTTTGGGCAAGATCTTTCTCCTACCTGGACCTCTGTTTCCTACTCTGTAAAAATGAGAAGGTTGAACACAACGGCCTCTGAGCTCTCTTCTAGCTCTTAGATCTAGGGTTTCGTGAGCCTATAAATGAGTATGAGTCTAATCCCCCACTCTCTAACTCCCCCATCCAAGGTTAGCCTGATCATGGTTCCCTGATCATCCTAACCTTTACTTCTGACCCTGAGAGGGGGAAAGTATTCTCTGAAACCTCTGGCTCAGACTACTGGTAGTTGTTATTTGGTGTGGGAACAGAGGAAGGAAGAAAGCAAGGGTACTCAAGGCCACCCCCCCCAACCTCTCTAAATTAATGCCCCTGCTCAGCCTCACAAGGGGATCAGTGTGGTTCAATGTGGGGCAGAATTGGACCAAGATCCTCACCCGCCTCCCTCTTATCTAGGACCAGGGTCCTCATTTCTCCCTATCTCTCTCTATTTCCCAGCAGTCCCTAGGCCTGTCTCTAATGGCAGCCTTCCTGACAACAGCAACAGCAGCAGCAGCAGCGGTGAATCTCGAAACCCATGGTTGGCCCAGGCTGAGGTGGCACTGCTGGCGGCCATGTTTGTGTGTGTGATGTTGAGCAACATACTGGTGCTGGGGGCCCTGGCCCGCAGGGGCAGGCGAGGCCGGTGGGCCCCTATGCATGTCTTCATTGGCCACTTGTGTCTGGCTGATCTGACTGTGGCCCTGTTCCAGGTGCTTCCACAGCTGGCCTGGGACATCACAGACCGCTTCCAGGGCCCTGACTTTCTGTGCCGAGCTGTCAAGTATCTGCAGATGGTGGGCATGTATGCTTCCTCCTACATGATTCTGGCCATGACCCTGGACCGCCATCGAGCCATTTGCCACCCCATGTTGGCATTCCGCCATGGTGGGGCCCGCTGGAATAGACCCATCCTGGTTGCATGGGCCCTCTCATTGATTTTCAGCCTGCCCCAACTTTTCATCTTCAGCCGACGGGAGATAAAGGATGAGGCTGGGACCTTCGACTGCTGGGCCCTCTTTATCGAGCCCTGGGGAGTCCGGGCCTATGTTACTTGGATCGCCCTAATGGTCTTTGTGGCACCAGCTGCAGGCATTGCTGCGTGCCAGGTGCTCATCTTCCGAGAGATCCATGCCAGCATGTCCCCTAGGGCAAGTGGTGTGGGGCCTAGTGAGGGTGCCCGGGTCTCAGCAGCCATGGCCAAGACAGTGAGAATGACCTTGGTGATAGTGATTGTGTATGTGCTGTGTTGGGCACCCTTCTTCTTGGTGCAGCTGTGGTCAGCGTGGGACCCCCAGGCACCTGTGGAAGGTAAGTTTAAAGGTACATATTCTCAGACCAAGGCACACAAAACCACACAGATGCAGGCAGGCATACAGATGTGCCCAGAGGGTTGTGCTGATGGGCACTGATATGTCTGCCTCTAGACACCCTTACACACACAGGCACACATTCACAGACTTCCCCAAATCCTTCTCCCCTATCCCTGTGCCCAGCCTTGCCTCCTCCTTGGTCTACTTGAGGGAGACAGGGAAGAGCCCATAGATCTGTATTCTGCTTTGCCCCCGTACCCTTCCTGCCCCTTGGCCCAGGATTCCCATAGCTCTGTCATTTCTTGCCTGTCCCTTCTGCACCTTCCCTCTCCCCGCACCCACCTCTCTTCTGGCTTCTGCCTTCTTCCTAGGGCCACCCTTTGTGTTACTCATGCTTCTGGCCAGCCTCAACAGCTTCACCAACCCTTGGATCTACGCCTCCTTCAGCAGCAGTGTTTCCTCGGAGCTGCGCAGCCTCTTCTGCTGCTTCCGGGCACCGGCTTTGGCCAGCCTTGGTCCCCCTGATGACTCCTGCGTAACCGCCAGCTCCTCTCTCACCAAGGACACATCCTCCTGAGGTCCTGGACAGACCAGGAGCAGGTCAGCTCTCTTCCTGGACTCCAGAAAGCTCCATTCCGAAGCCAACATCTCCCACATGGTGCCAACTTGTCCTTCCTAAAGCAAAGGTCTGACCCTGTCGTGACCCTGCTCAGGAAAAGCTTCCATGGCTCCCCAGTGCCTCTAGGATAGCATAATATTCTATTTGGCATTTAAAGCCCCTCCCAGTCTGGCTCCAGCCTGTATTTCTGGCAAATCATCCATTGCTGCTCTCTACCTTCCATACCATTACACAGGCTGTTGCCCATGACTGGAATGTTCTCCCTCTTCCCCTCTGCCTCTTGGAACCCCTAGAAAGCTCAGCTCAAGAGCCACGTCCTTCAAAAGGCCTTTCCTGGTTCTCCCAGGTTAGTGCCCTGCCCCCAAACTCTGTATTTATTATATATTTCCCATATTTACTTCTCAGGGGGCATGTCATATCCCTAGAATGTAAGTTCCTTGAGGGCAGGGACTATCCCACTTTTTTACTTGTATCTCTAGTGCCTAGCACATAGTAGGTGCTTAATAAATGCTTGTTGATTGATGGGGCTTGGGGGGAAAGGACAAGAGGCCCCTGGAATTTCTGGGAATTAAGTATGATGGAAAGAGCCCTGTACAGGGAATCAGGAGCTCTGCATTCTAATCCTGCATCTGTTTTTTACTTGCTTGGGCTAATCACTTCCCCTCACTTAGACTGAGTTTTCCCACCTGTAAAATAAAAGGGTTCAACTAGATGCTAAGGGCCCTTAGAGCTCTGCCATTCTCTGATTATTGTCCCTTGGACTATGGATAGGGGTTGAGATTGGGAGCAGGGGGCATAGATGAGAGAAGGAATGTCACTTCCTATGGCCCAGGGGATGAAGGGCCAGCTCTTTCTGTTCAGGCCTCCTTGTCCAAGACATCTGTAAGTCACCCCTTCCCTTGTTTTTTAATCCTCACCCAATGCATAGGCCTTCCCAAGCCTCTAGCCTCCCTCCTCCCTTCTATATATGGCCCACTCTGAGGTATTAGCTGCATAAACTCTCCCTAGATCAAGACTTCACAACCTGGGAGTTTCCTTTCATTGGGAAAGGTGGGTTGGGTACATGGAGGTGGACATGGACAGACACACGAACGTGTTGGTGAGCACAGACATTTTGATATAGACGGGAAGGAAATACCTACTCACAAGGCCATAGGCACGAGACAACACTGAGCCCAGAGCAGGCCAAAATTTCCATACATGTGCGCGCACACACACATGCACACAAACACACTATGCACCCATCCCTCTGTCCAGGAAGCCTGGCAGGTCTGCCCACATGAGGGAGGATGAGGGTGAGGACCTTAGCAGGGCCTCTATAGATTTCATCTGGGAGTCACACAGGCCTCCCTCCCCCTGCTTCCACTACCTTCATCCTATTGTTCTCACCCTATTTATAGCAGCTTCAGCCTCTGCTCAAATATTTTTTCCATGACTTGGCCCTGACCCTGACGTCAGGGCTGGCCATTCCACCCCACTTCTCCTCTGCCAGTTTACCTGATGATTTGAGGTTCCTGACCCCTTCCTCCCCAGCCCCACTCCCTTAGAAAATCTCACAGCCTACTTACTGGCCATTCACAGATGGAATGGTCTGAGATTTAAGTAGTCATATTCACACCCACTCACCTACCACTTAAATGAGCCTGAGTCAGCTAGGATTAGGACAGGTAGAGAAGAGAAATGGCCTAACAAATTGGAAAGGAGTGTGTGAGCTAAGGCACAGAGATGGAAATGAATAAGCCTGCTATGCAAGGAGCTGCCAAGGCCTGATTGGAGCAGAGGGCACTGTTAGGTGGGCAAATATCGAAAGACAAGGAGCCGATTTCTGAGAGCTTCTAAAGCCATGTTGACTTCATCCTGTAGGCAGTAAAAGGCTTTGGCTCATGGGAGTGACTTGGTCAGGCCTATCCATTAGGAAGCTTGAATGAGCTAGCCTGGAGTGGAGACAGTGGAGGCAGCCAGAGTAGCTAATTTGCTATTAGGCTGTATTAACTGAGGCTGAGTGTTCGGAAGGAGGAAGCTGACAGTGCCCCCTCCCTGGTCAGAGGAGGGTGGCCAGCTAAAGAAGGGCCTGGAACACATGCCCCATGAGGATCAGCTGAAGGAGAGGAGTTAGGGGGTCTTCAAGCATCCAGACCACTATCTTGAGGCCCGATTAAACCTGTTCTATCTGGTCCCAAGGGACAGAACTGGGAATATTGGTAGGTGAGTTTCCTGTATACTTTAGGTTAGCTGAGTGACTCCTTATTGGGGACACTGTAGAAAGTACATTATTGGTCAGATAGGGTTGAACCAGATGACCTCTGAACTCCCAACCCTTTAGATTTTGTGATTCTATGAGGCAAGAGACCGGAGAGACCACTGTGCCACTAATCCCAATGAGCTATAATGAGGGATATGAGGAAGGACAGATGTGAGACACACTGGGGAAGTTGAATCAATGGGATTTGGTATCTGGGCCAATTGGGAGTGATGGCATTTTTGCCGGATCCTAACAGTCTTTGCCCCTTGACTCATCCACCATATTGGGGACCTCTCCCTCAGTGTCTTCTCCCAGAATCCACTCCCTAGAGGCCCTGCCCCCAGCTCTGAGCTCTCAGGACCGGAATCATCCAACCCCCACCAGCTGGAGGCCTTAGCTTAAGAGGTTGAATGGGAATTTCCCTGCTGTTGAGTGCTTCAATGTGACCTGCTTCCAGGGGTTACCATCTCCTTCTTGGTCTTCCTAGTTGCCTTTCCTGCCACCACCATATGTACCAGCTGTCCCACCAGCCCTCCAGCACACACCGATGTCCCCATACCTACCCTCTATTCCCCAACCAACAAGTAATGTCTGCTTCCCATACACACTGCTGAAGATGGTATGTGTGGTGGGGTAGGGGTAGGGTGGAGGGGAGGGAAGGGCAATGCCCTTTTTCTGCACATCTGGAAACCTCTGCCCATTTCCAGTACCCTCCAGGAATGTCTGTGGAAATCTCCCTCACCTTCCCACTTGGGTACCTGCTCCCTAAGGGGTTAGGGCTCCTTCACCTGAATCGTCAAGCTCTTCCTAGGTGACCAAGTGGTTAAGCCTGGAGTCAGGAAGACCAGAGTTCCCATGTGACTTCAGACACTTACTAGTCCTGTGTCATTTAACCTCAGCCTGGCTGGGATCATAGCAGCGTCTCCCTACCAGAGACACTGCGATTCTACAATGATATTAAAGCACTACATAAATGCTAATGGTATTCCTGATACTAATTGTAATTAGTCTGGAGCTTCCAGCTGGTGGCTCAGTGGACAGAGAGCTGGGCCTAAAATCAGGAAGACTCTCAACCTCACTCACTAGCCATGGGACCCTAGGCAAGGCACTTGTTTGCCTCAGTTTCCTCAACTGTAAAACAGAGACAATAACAGCACCTACCTCCCAGGGCACAAATGAGATATTTGTAAAGTGCTTTGGTCATTACGTGGAACCTAGTAGGCAATTAATAAATGCTTCCTTCCTTCCTCCCCCCTCCCCCACCCAGGCTAATGAAGGAGACTCCCGTAACTCTTTCTTTGCTTTGGTCTTGGTTGGGAGCCAGGATGCCAGAGTTCCTATAATTAGGTGATGTTTTCTGTGGGAGTCGAATGCACAGGGCTGTTATGGGGACCAAATGAGATGTGTGTAAAGTGCTTTGAAAACCCTAAGTCACTAGAGATGTGGGCTATTACTGGTTTAGAGTAATGGAAGCTTCAATCTGTCCCGTTCTAATGAGGCTACAAAATCTCTCTTGCACCAGCAAAGAGATGGCGCAGAGGTGAGGTATTTGCCCAGCAGAACCTTCCATTTTATTCAGGTTTCTTGAGGGAAAGGGATGTGGGTAGAGGGGTTTGGGTAGAAAGGCAAGTGAAGAACACAGGTGAGGTCCAATATACCTATGAAGAAACAGCTGCATGCTGGGGGTACATGCCCAGCCACAGCGGGGATGGCAGATGGGGAGCTCAAGGTAAGTCCTGGGCCCCAGTACCTCTGAAGAAAACCTTGTTTTTCCCAGTTCGACTGGGTCCTATGGGCCGCCTGCTGTGTTGAGTGGAGCTGGAGGCCTCAGGGGAACTCAAGAGGGTATCGGAGGTCTTCTGCACCTGCCGGGCATTGGCCTTCCCCAAGAGCTCCTTAAAGACAGATTCCATCCTCTGGGCCACGTTCTGGGGGAAAGTGCAGAGGGGAGGGGGGGAGATGTCAGTCATTGAGGAAGATCGAGGAAGGTGAGGGCTCCTTTCTCTTACTCCGACCCATTTCTCCATCTGCCTGCCAGTGTCTGAGAAAGAACCCGGCTCCTCCTTGCCAATGCCCCCTCCTCTTGAGCCTCTGAGCCTGTCACCCAAACAATCAGCCCCTCTTTCATTCCTCTTACTTCTCCTTCCGGTCTAGCAATCTGAGATTTAAGTAGTCATATTCACACCCACCCACCCACCACTTAAGTGAGCCTGAGTCAGCTAGCATTAGGACAGGTAGAGAAGAGAAATGGCCTAACAAATTGGAAAGGAATGTGTGAGCTAAGGCACAGAGATGGAAATGAATAAGCCTGCTATGCAAGGAGCTGCCAAGGCCTGATTGGAGCAGAGGGCACTGTTAGGTGGGCAAATATCGAAAGACAAGGAGCCGATTTTTGAGAGCTTCTAAAGCCATGTCGACTTCATCCTGTAGGCAGTAAAAGGCTTTGGCTCATGGGAGTGACTTGGTCAGGTCTATCCATTAGGAAGCTTGAATGAGCCAGCCTGGAGAGGCAGCCACCCATGAGAGAATTCTCCTTATAACTTTCTGCTCTTTCAGGCCACGGTGTTCTTATGGGCCCTCTGGCCACCAGGCTTTTAGAAAGAGCCATCTTGGTTCATTTCACTCCCTACCACCCTGAAGTCTGACTTTGGTTCCTCACCCCTCTCTGAGGTCCCTGATAACCTCCAGATGGGCAGATCCAGCAAGCTTTTCTCAGGCCTCTCCTGGATTGACCTCTCTGAAGCTTCCTGGTACTGATGACCATGCCCTGCCCTCCTCTCCTCCTTACACACACACACACACACACACACACACACACACCACACACGGCATCCCCCCCCCAGAAACTCTCCCTCCGTGGTTTTTGGGAAACACCCTTCTTCTACTCCTCACCTCCCCCCTTGGCAAATGTCTCCTTTGATGATTCTTCTTCCCAGGAGGCATCACCCCGTCCCCCAGATCCTTCCCTTTTCTTTTTGGGCAGTCTCATCCACTCCCACAGCTTCCCAGTGATCACAGCCCTAGGCAGGAGGCTCCAGGACATCCAAATTTGAATCTCTAGCCCTACTGTGGTCTAGCACTGGGTCCAGGCTTCCAGTGGCCTGCTGGATGGCTAGCCCCACTGAGCACCTCGAAACTGTAACATCTGATCATCTTCCCTCCACCCCTCACCCCAAACCTTCTCTTTCTTCTAATTCCCTGATTCTCTTAATGGCACCACCATCTTCGCATTAACCCAGGCTTACAACCTGAGTCATCTTTGGCTCCCCCCCTCCCCCAATCATATCCTGTCAATATCTCTTGTAGCCATCTCCATTCTTTCGGCCATCCCCCTAGTCCAGAGCCTCATCATCTCTCGATTGGACCAGTGCCATAGACTCCTAATGGGCCTCTCTCTGCCCCATCGAGTCTCCACTCTAATTTATCCTCCATAAGCTGCCAAAGTGATTTTCCTAAAGCCCAGATCTGGCCATGTCACCTCTTGGCTCCAGAAACTTCAGGATGAGATCATGACTCTGCAGCCTGCCAGTGGGAGACCCTCCACCACCTCAAGCCAGCCTCCCCATGTGGCCCTCTCTCCTCTACCTCTACTCCAGCCAAGCCCATCTCTTCACATGCCAGGCTCATTTGGGCTCACACCATTTATTCTCTTCCCTCTCCCTCTCCAACGTCCTGCTCATTCTTCAAGGCCCAATCCAAGTGATGACTCCCGTAGACAGCCTTTCCTGACCATTCGGAAGCTCCCACCTAGGCACTGTGTTCTACAGCCCAGCACCCAGCACCTAAGTAGTCCTGCCACTCCTCTTTGCTTGAGGGTGAGGCCAATGGCCCCAGCCAGACTGGGAGCTCCCCAGGGACAGGCCTTGAATATCATCTCGTCTATGACTTCCCTCCTTTCCCAGCACTCCCTAGCACAGGCAATCAGTCTGCTGAATGGAAGAGGAAAAATTGGGAGAGAAGAAAGGAGCCAAGAGAGGAGAATAGGAAGAGAGGGGGAGATCAGAAGGGGGAGGATAAGGAGAGTCAAGATGAAAGGGGCATCCATGTCAGGTCCCTGAGAATACCCTGCCCATTCCAAGCTAGGCTGGCTCACCTTGTCAACCTCCAATTTCTTATCACTGGTGATGATGGCTGGGCAGCGCCAGTTGCATCCGGAGGGACCTGGCATCTCCATCGTGTTTCGACGCTCTGGTCTGAAGTGGAAAGTGGGGGTGGGCACAGAGAGTCACCCTGGGCACCCAATATGGTCCCAAAAGGAAAGAGTGAGCTTGCCTTTCTCCCTCGGGGGCCCTCCCCCAAGGAGTTTATGCCCCACGGGCTGACCTGTCACCAGGTATCACAGCTCGGCCAGCTGACGTCAAGGTCAAAGGGTGGTGGGTAGGATCCAGAAAAGGTGAAGTCAATTTGCCAACTGGATTGCCACTGCTTGCTTGGGGGCGAGCCCTGCCATAGCCACCTTCTGAATTTGTGCGCATGCTGGCATGGAGTTGGGGGGGCCTCAGGTGAGAGCCTGTTGCCATCCCTTGACCCGTTAATGCCCAGGCTGGATCATTCCCTTCTCCGGGAGGCCTTTCCACCCTGCTGTCCCCCAAATCTCTCCAAGATCTGACTCCCCAACCTGACAGCCAGGAGTCTGGTTAGCTCCTGCCTAGTCAGTTTCCCATGGAATTTGAGAATCCTCAAATGCCAGGGCCAAAGGTTCCTTGGAACCCAGAGGATTCAGGTTGCTTATTTCACAGATGGGGAAATGGAGGCCCAGAGAGGGGGCAGGGCACTCCTCAAGTTCACCCAACTGATTAGTTGTCTCCTGCCTCCCAGTCTGGGCCTTTTCCATCACACCAGAGCACTGCCTTCTCCTGGTGAGGAGAACCCTTGGCATGATGAGGGACCTTGCTGCCACACTGTCGAGTGAGCCCAGGAGGGGAGGGGGGAATGGGGGGGGGACATGCTCCTTCCCCCTTCACTCACCGGCTCATAGGCTCCACTGTGAGGTCCTCAGATTTGGAGACCAGTTCACCTTCTCCCTGTCCTTCCTGCAAAGTCACTCGATTCTCTGGCCTAGGAACACAAGGGGGATGTTGCGGGAAAGATTCAGCCCCCAGAAAAAGCTAGGCCCCAAGGGGGATGGATAGCAGAACAGGGATGTGGAAATGAGGAAGGGACCCAAGGGAAGGAGCTCAGTGTGCTCAGTCGTCACTCGGCATCTAAGCAGTGGGGTCATGTCTCTTAAAGACAGACTGGGAGGCAGCAGCAGGTGGAGGGAACTGGAAGACCCTGGACCCGCAGTGAGGCTCGGGGCCCATTCCCAGCTGCTCCGGGTTGATCTCACTCACTTTTCGGGCACCTTGATGTACTTGTGGGGGATGAGCCCCAGGGTGCCTGCCCGCTCCCCACGCCACCACTCTCCAGAGGCCCGGGTATGCAGCCATAGTAAGTCCCCACGCTGGAAAGTTAGCTCCTGGGGTGTCCGGCCCACGTAGTCAAAGCAAGCCACAGCTTCCACAGATCCCTCAGACTCAGGGACTGGGGCAGAACTCTCTGGGGGTGACCCAGAGCTCTCTAAAGGTAGAACAGGAGTCTCTGTGGGGAAGAAGACAGGACACTCTGGGGGAAAATATCAGGCAGCGTGTGTTGGGGGGACTCTGAGGGGGTAGAGGACATTCAGGGGAAGACATTGGATGAAGCTTGGCACACTGTGGGGGATAGGACCCTGTCTAGGAAGATGGGGACTCTAGGGGTCATCTCATGGTGTTCTGAAGGGAAGAGGGCACGAGGCCCCCTGCTTCACCCTCTTTATTAGCCGATGTCTCCACGGGCACATCCTGCTCACTCTCTTCTGCTGTGGCATCCAGTTGAGTATCCCTGAGACAAAAGTCAGAAGGTCAGACCCAAGACAGTGAGGGGAGCATCCCTACCTCCTCTGCATGTGGATGATGCATATAGATACAGAGATAGACACAGATGTGTTTCTACAAGTGGGGAAAGCTGTACTGGCTGTCAGTGGGCATCTTGGGGATGGGGGTGACCTTATATTCCAGCCTCCAGTAGATCACCCATGGGACAGCCCTCCTCTCCCCCAGGTTTCTGACAAAGGCGGAGGGGATGAGGCTGTGGTACCTGCACATTTCCCAGATTTACCCAAAATCATCATGTGGCGGGGTCATGCACTTTTCATAGAGGGGCCCTGGCAGCACAGCAGAGGTTGGGAAGATCAAGTCGGGCTGCAGGATGAGCGTCTGAACCAGCTGGTTTACCCGGCCCTGCACCGCCACAGGGTCTTGCTCTGGCGGAACAACCACCAGCGTGGGCCCAAAGCACACGGCCAGGTTGTAGGGGTCCATCATGTTTTCATCACTGTACTGGGCCAGGCTGAGCACCAGGAAGACACAGGAACAATAAAGATGAACACAAGAAAGCATGGATGGATGCTTGCCAGCAGGGGGAGACCAAGGAGACACCCCACACCATCCCTGCTCCCCGGTCTCCTCTGGCCACCTTCTGCCTTCCTGAAACTAGGGGCCATCTATCCGGCTGAGAAACTCCGAGCAAGTCTGCAGGGGTCAAACAAGATCACCCTAAAGTCCCTCCCAGCTCCCTCTGGATGGTGCCCCAGGTGAGGGTGGGGAAGAAGAGAGCCCTGAGGGATGGGCATTGGGGGATGCTACTCACTGATTGAGGAAGGTAAAGAGATAACGGAGGACCACCAACACTGGCCCTGGCAGGCGGCCCAGGATGCCTTTCACAAGCTCTGCCCTCTCTCTAGGGCTCTCCAGCTCTGGAGACCCCAATACCCCATCCCAGGTGCCTCATTACTCAAACTGTTCCCTCTCCCCTCTCCCAGCCCCCTTTCTTTCTCCTTCCCTACCCAGCCTAGCCCCCCTGCCTCACTCACCCACAGCAGCCAGCATCTCCCCAAACATCTCTGATGGAAAAAGTGGTGTCTCCAGGCCACGGAAATAGAGCTTCAGCACACCAGCCACGGAGTCCAGGTCATGGGCCGAGTAGCCCTCCACCAAGGGGTCCTCACCTGGGTGCAAATTCAGGGGGGATTCAGGGATGCCCAGCCCCAGCCTTCTGTCCCACCCACTATCCCACCCTTGCTTCCTTCCCTGCCTACCCACCTCTCTCAAAGGCATTCCGGATTTCTGTAACCCTAAGTTGTGCTCCAGGTACTCGGAAAATGCCCTCATGTTGGAGACCTGGAGGCATTGGAAGGGCCACACTATGTGTAGCTAAGACAGGAGGAGGGCCCCCCCCCCAAATCCCAGGTCCTGAGGCCCCCAGCCCCCTAGAGCCATGGTGCTTCCCCTCTTAACAGTCTGAGACAGGCATTTACCCTGTCCTGGGGTGGGGGTGGGGGAGCAGGGAAAAGAAAGGGTAGCAGAGAGGTGAGCCAAGGGGTGAGCAGAGGCTAGGCCTGCAGCTGGGACACATAGGGCCTTACCATGCAGGTTGATGAAGCGGATACAGCTTTCGACTACCAAGGGAACAGCTTGACCTGAACTCTGGAGGTGGGAAGAGGAGAGAGGAGCCAGGGGGATTAATGCCATGCTGACTGAACCTTCCTCTCTGGATGTCCAGCCCCTCCTCTCCCAAAACAGCCAACAACCTGTCTCTCTCCTAGGCCTCCTATAGCAGTGGGCCCATGATGGACCCCAGGCTATGGGAAGGAGAGAAGACAAGCCCCATTATCCAGAGGGGAGAACTGAATCTTCCAGAGAAGGGGGCGTGCGGACCCAGCAGATGCATACACACATATCCAAAGGGTCACAAATGCATTGACACAGACACAACCAGGCCATTTTTCTATTCCCATTGCTTAGTTACTGGTCCTTCTGCTGGTAGTGCCTTCCTAAGGCTACCATCCCCATCTCCCCTGTATCTGGTTATTTATATCTTATCTTCCCCATTAGAACATGAGCTCCTGGAGGCAGTTAGGTGGCACAGTAGATAGAGCTCCGGCCTTGGAGCCAAGAAGCCCTAAGCTCAAATCTGGCCTCAGACACATGATACTTCCTAGCTATGGGACCCTGGAAAAGTCATTTAACCCTGATTGCCTCACCAAAAAAAAAAAGCAAAAAAAAAAAAGTTAAAAGGGCAGCTAGGTGGCAGGCACAGTGGATAGAGCACTAGCCCTGGAGTCAGGAGGACCTGAGTTCAAATCGGCCTCAGACACATAACACTCACTAGCTGTGTGACTCTGGGCAAGTCATTTAACCCCCATTGCCTCAAAAAAAAAAAAAGTGACAGAAGTGAAGACAATGATTGAAAAACCACTTTCAGGGCAGTTAGGTGGCACAGTGGATAGAGCTCTGGCCTTGGAGTCAGGAGGTTCAAAATCCAGCCTCAGACCCTTGATACTTACTAGCTGTGTGATCCTGGGCACACACACACAAAAAAAATCAAACAAACAAAAAGAACAGGAGCTCCTTGAAAGCAGGGGCTGAGGGACCTTTCCTTGTACCCCCAGAGCTTAGTACTGGGCCTGGCACACAGCAGGTGCTTAATAAATGCCTGTTGTTCACTTGGGCCTTCCACTTGTACTGTTAGCACTTTCTCTGCAGTGACCTCCGGCACAGACATATCTCTACACAGAGGCACTTGGAGGCCTGACCCTGAGCCCTTGGCCCTTCCCAGAGGCCCCTGGGCCTGGGCCTGACTCCTAGACAGAAAAGAGAAGTGGAGTCCTTGCCCCGTTCTCTGTAGCCAACCTGGCAGGGGTAGGGTGGCTAGTACCTGGATGAATTTCTCCATGTCTCCTGAAAAGAGTTTGTGGTTGTACTGGGAGCTAGGCCGAGGGCGCCGATTCCTTTGGGATCTAGTCATAGCACAGCGGGCCCTGAAATCAATGTGGAAGAGAGTGGGAGGGCTGAAACTGCAGCCTGGCAGGGTCAAAGGGGATCACCTGGGGAGACTGTGCCCCTCCCCGCCCCAAATACCTCGGCCTTCTTCCCCTTCCACCCCTCAGAGCTCGAAGCCCAGGGAAAGTGGTTGAACGAAGGGCTCTGGAGAACCCTGTCACCCTCACCAAATGCAGCTGAAACAGAATCAAGTTCAACTCCTTCATTTTACAGGTAGGGAAGCTGAGGCAGCCCAAGAAAATGGAGTGGCTCAAGGTCAGGCAAAGCCAAAGGTGGGACTAGAATCCTAGCAAAGAGGAAGATGAAGCCTCCCCTTTAGAGGCAGTATGGATAGTGGGAAGAGTCCTGGCTTGGAAGTCAGAGGACCTGAATTCAAATGCTGATTTTGCCGCTTATTTGCCACTTTGAGACCTTGGGCCTCAATTTCCTCATCTGTAAAATGAAGGTTTTGAACAGATGATCTCTAAGATCCTTTGTGGCTTTTAATTTGTGATTCCCTTTTCAGCATAAACCAGGGGATTCCTCTGGGAGACTTACCGAGACCCATCACAATCTTCCTTGTTGCCTGTGAGGACAAGAGAAAAGCAACTTAGGACTGAGCCCTTGGGTGTCCTCTGTGCCCCAGCTTCTTCAGGAGGACACACTGAGCCCAAAGGATTAAGGTGGGGAATATCTGAAGTTGGGGGGATTCCGGTTGGGTGGCATCCTGTCACAATCTCTAAAAGTGGGGATTAGGCCCTCTGGGCCAGAAACAAATGGACTGGAACTGGCCTTGGACTGGAGAGCTGGGGAGCAGGGGCTGGGGCTGGAGGAGGGACTGGGAGAAAGAGCCTGGGACTGGGAGGCAGGAGCTGGGGGACAGGGACCAGGGGAGACAAGGGCTGGGGCTGGGGGGCAGGCTCACCTCTCTGAATGGCCTCCTGTAATTTCTCATGTTTTGCTTGTAGCTTGGTGAGGATGCTTCTGCAGCTCAGATATTCTTGCAGTTTCTGTGAGGCCCAAGGGATGGAGTGGTTGGTCACGAATCTTGTGACCCTACCAGCCCTGGAGCCCCAATTTCTGAGGTCACTCCCTACTCCTCTGGCCCTCACCAGGATATAGAAGGTCTCCGTCTCCTGCTGCTGGCCACGTCTCCGTGCGAGCTGCCTACAGCCAGGATCAGATCCCGTGGACTTGAGTGATTCGGTGGATGGGCTGGCCTGGAAGGCATCTAACACATCGCTGTCATCTGAGGCGGCCTGATCCAGCAGGGACTGCAGGCTGGCCTTCAGAGTCTTGTTGACCTGAGGGTGGGAAGCAAAGAATGTCTCTGAGGGCCACATTGGGTGGAGGAAAGGAGAAGAGGCTTGAGAGAAAGCAGTTACGTCAGGCAGAGAGAGTGTGGAAGGGCTGGTACCCTGCCGTGGGCGCCCAGCTCCATCCCTTCCCATCAGGCACCGAGCCACTGAGACACCTACCTCCCCGGTTTCAATGTTCTGTTGATCCAGGCGGGCTTGGATATTCTTGGCTCGAGGAAGGATTTCATCCTCCAGGTCTACAGGCACCTGGACCTCAGACACCTGAAAGGTTGGAGGTGGGACAACAGCAAACAGCCAGTCAGAAACACGTGAAACATGGAGAACTCAAGACAAACCATGAAGAGAGGGGAATGTGACTTGTTTCAAGTCCTGTTCGGAAAAGCTACGTTATCTACTAGTCTAGCTTATAGAATACTTTCAAATTTTCTGAAGGAAGAAAGTCAGGGGGCAGCTAGGTGGCGCAGTGGACACAGCACTGGCCCTGGAGTCAGGAGGATCTGAGTCAAATCCAGCCTCAGACACATAACACTCACTAGCTGTGTGACTGGGCAAGTCACTTAACCCCGATTGCCTCACCAAAAAAAAACACTAAAAAACTAAAACAAGAAACAAAAAACTGAGGATGAAGGAAGAAAATCTGTAGCTTGGACAAAAAATCCAAGTGACAACAAATTGTCTGGGCCCCACGAAGAGAAGGGACGGGCTACTTCAGTTCCCCTCCTAGAGCAGGAAGGGAATCCCCAAAATATCTGCATCTGATCAGAGAGAGATAGCCCATCATGAGACACTAGCTTCCTGCTTCCAGAATGGAGGCGAGATCAACAGAAACCCAAAAACCATACTGCATTCAGAAGGCTGTGATTCTAATCAGGGTCTCTGTATGAGATTGCTGTTCCTATAAGCTGCTAAAGGAAAACCCAAGGGGAAATAAGAAAGATAATTAACAAGTGACTTTTCTTTGTGTGTGCATGGGGTGAGGGTGGGGAGTGGGGTGAGAAATCAAGGACCAGGTAAAAAGGAAGCAAGAGGCGAGTACCACCTGCCCGTCCACTAATGGTCACTCTATCCTATGGCCTGGGGTTACGAGCTTAACAGCTGGTCGCCATTCCCAATGACCAGCCCAGTTCCCCATCTGCTCTCAATCATAAACTTGCAGAGGTTTGTTCTCAATGATAGAACCTAAGCAACCCCCAGTGACAATGAGTTTTCGATAGCAGCAGATTCAGTACTTGGACCAGAGGTTCCGCCAGAGGTGCCCGTTTGGAGAACACACCATCCCAAAGGATTTGTGCGACATTTGGCTGAACTAATAAGGAGATCTACACATTTGAGAGAGAAGAGGTGGAATATTCATTGTCAAGTTCCATTAGACTTGGGGAGAGAGCCACCCATTGTGGACTCCATGAAGGGTAATTAGTGACAGTAGCTTACTATCTCCACCTGGTGGCAGCATTTCCAAAATGCAAGGAGCCCATTATCAAGGCAGAGACCAGGGTCATTTTTCTATTCCCATTTCTTATGGGGAAAAAATCCTTGCATTTTATTGATGAGGAAACTGAGGCCCAGATAAGGGTGGGCCCTGTATGCTAGTTTCCTCCCTCTCTCTGGATCACTGGCATGGGGGAGGGGCCCATTTGGACTCTTCCTAGGGGGTCAGAGATGGGGACCTGGGGTTGGAGCTCAGGAATTCTCTGGGACAAGAGCCTTCTTCACCTCATCCCCTTCATAGGGTTGGTATTCAAATCGGAAAGGTGGACAGTAGGCAGAGGCGTGGAACTCCAACACTTTGCTTTTGTCTCCTTCCGGGTCCAGGGTGTCCACGGCTATGTCCAGTTTGCTCGGGCCCTGACCAGGGGAGGTCTTGGCCCGGGTCACGGCTGCTGTGTAGCCACGAAGAACCTTGCTCAGAGCCAGGTGGAAGCCCAAATCACTGCACTACAGGGGACAGAACCCAAAGAGCCCCTAAGCAGGCTGGCCTGCCCTCTTGGCCCACACTCCCCGAAGCCCCCATCCCAGATACCCACATCCATGATGGCAACAGCATCTCGAAGATAGTAGTTGCTGACTGCTGCATTGGCACTGGCCAAACTGAGCAGGTATTCGTTCCGCGCCTTGGTACACTTCAGTTTGTGTTCTAAAAACTTGGCCTGGCGCTGCTCAGGAAGCAGAGAGGAGCCCCGATGAGGATGGGGGCAGAGGGAAGGCCAGGGGGCAGGGAGGGAGGGAGGGAAAGAAGCGATGGCACCATTTTTAGAGGCAGGCGGAAAAAGGTTCACAGAGACCAACAAGATCAACGTCACACAAGCAGTTATTGTGACCCCTGACCCCCCCCCAAAGTGACTGAAGAGTACACACATATGCCTCACAGAATTCCTCATTTCTTTCCTCTACTAAACCAGGCTGCCTCCCATGAAGGCAAGCAGGCCTCCCACTGCTCCCAAGGCCTGTCCTGGCCCCTTAACCCCTTCCCTTTCCTTTCTCTACTAGGCTGGGCTGCGGCCATAAAGGCAAGTGGGCTCCCCCTGCCCCCAAGACCTGCCCATTGGGCTACCCTGGCCCCCCAGCCCCTTTCCCTACCTTCTCTACGAGGCGTCCGCCTTTCTTGAGGGAGGTTCTTCGAGGAGGAGCCCAGCCATGACCATCTATGCCCTGCGAGGTGCCGAATTCCCCGCAGCGGCCGGCCCGCTTCTCCTCTTGTCGCTCGGCCTCTCTCAGTTTTCCCTCCGAGCTCACGCTCTCTGCCCTGTATGTCTGGTAGGTTTTCATGGCCTGGGGAAAAGCAGAAGTACAATCAAGGCACTGACCACTCAACATTCTGGCACCTCCTTCCGCAAGGGTTTCGTCCATCCATAAGCTACACGCCCTTACTTTTTCTTTTTTAGGGGGCCAGGAGGGCCAACCAGGAGGGCCAGTAATTCAAAACCACTTCCTCCAGGACCAGTGCAGTGAACTGGTCCAGGCAGCCACGGGTCAGATTAGAACAGAATCCAGTGATATCATAAAGGACCAGACTCCAGAGCCTTAGCGACGGGGAGAGTCCTTAGAGACCAGAGAGCAAAGGCACTGGCTGAGGTCATAGCTGCCCTTAAAGGCACCCCCTTCCCCCCAGGCCACCCCCTTCTCACCATCTGCAGCTCTGACACCACTTTGAGCAGGTCTTCTTGTAACTGCTGTTCCAGATCTTTACTCTAGGGAAGAAGGAGGGAAGGGGGGATCAGTGCCCACAGGGAGGTTCTGGCCCACCTGTCTCCAGCCTACCTGATAAAGGCCATAGGCTTTGGGCTTTGGAGGCTTTGGACTGAGTCCAAGTTTTACAGTCTAGCCCCATCACCTACAGCTCCCACCGTGCCCACCCTACACTCCTATCAGTCTAACCAGTGTCTTCTCTGAATCATCACAATCTTCCAATACACTCACGCTCACATAAACACTAAAACATGCGCTTATATACAAATACACAAATATATACCCATACACATACAAATATACAAACATACACACAAATATATACACAAACACACTTAAACACACATATACACACAAAAATACACATACACACTTAGGCACACATACACACATACACACTCAAACACACATAAATACACAAATATGCACATAAATATATATACACACACAAAAATAAACACTCAAATACATACAAACACAAACATACGCATACTCAAATATATACATAAAAACACACACAAAACACACAAACACATCCAAAAACACACACTCAAACACACATACATAAACATTGCTGCTGCAATACCTTGGCTCATACTGTTTCCCTTGCTTGGAATGTCATCCTAGCTACTCTGTGTCAGGCCCACTGGTTTTCAAGGCCCAGCTAAGGTACCATCTCCTCCTTCCTGGAGGTTGCTGGGCTGAGGACAGTCTCCTCAGGGCTCTCTATCCCAAGCAGGCCTCCATATCATGGTCTCAGCACACACACACACACACACACACACACACACACACACACACACACACACACTCACACATGGCTGGCCTGCCTAGCAGGACCAGCCTCCTTTTCTGGGCCACTCCCTCCTGTTCCTCTGGTCTCTACTCTCAGCTCAGCAGATGTCTGCTGACCATCCTCACCCTGGCACTGAGCCCTCTCTGCCCCTGCTCCCCCTCCGCCTAGGCCCGGGCGGTCACCTTCTTCACCAGACGCCCTACGTCCTCTCCAATGTGACTGAGCTGCTGGGCCAGGGGCCCGGCCAGCACCTCGCTGAGGGCCCCGTGATCCCGGCTCTCCTGCCGAGTCTGCTGCAGCAGCACATACCAGCAGTGCAGGGGAGACAGAAGGGACGGCTCCTTCCTGGGGGGGTGACATAAGGGATGGGCCAGGGGCATTGAGGACCCAAGGCCCCCCATCACCACCCACGGGCCCTTGGCTTCACCCAATTAAGGCCAGGCACTCTGGGGTGGGACCCTACCCCCAACCCCATTCCCTGGTCAGTCCTCAGATGAGGTCTTGCCCTGATACCGGAAGTTCTGTTGGTCTCGGTCCTTGCCACTGGTCCGGCCCCCTCGGGCCAGGAACCTCTCACTGAGCTTCTCGAGTCCCTTGGAGTACTCCAGCTCCACCTCGGCCCTGCGCCGCATGAACTCGCCCAGATCCTGAAGCAGCTCCCGCCGAAGTTCCCCCTGACCGTCCAGGCTCCGGAGCTGCTCTGCCAACTGCCATCGGATCTCTGCAGGGGCACAGTGGGGAGAGCGTTAAGGACACCCACAGGGACGGAAGGGCAGGGAGGAACAGCGGGGCTAGGGGCGACTGGGGGTGGCATGGGCTGATAAAGAGCACACAGGGAAGCCTAGAACCAATGAGAGCAGGAGCAGACTCGGCTTCCATCAGTATTCCTCATGGGGGTACTCAACTCAGAGGCTCATGGATCTAGGGCTGGAAGGACCCCAGAGGACTAGAGTCCAAGCCCCTCATTGGACACATGAAGAAACTAAGTGATTTGGCCAAGGTCACACATAGGAGCATGGGTCTACATAAAAACAAAAGATGTCAATCAAAATGTATTTTAGTTAAATTATTATTTTTTTTTTAAAGGAACAGCCTTGATCTAATACAACCCCCTCATTTTATGGGAAACTGAGACCCAAAAAGAAGTGACTCGCCCAGGGTCACACAGCTAGTAAGTGTCTGAGGCCAAATTTGAACTCAGGGCCTCCTGACTCCAGGCCCAGCACTCGATCCACTGCAGCGCCACCTAGCTGCCCACTTACTATGATGTTTCCCTGCTCTCTGAGTTCCAATGAGCCATAAGGAGGCAGGGTGAGGTGACAGGGGTCTTGTTCTCCAGGTCCATCCAAACCCACCCAGCCCCCCCCACACACTCACATACACAGTAACACACTCAACACTTCCTCTTCTTCCCTTATACAGTTATGCCTTCCACATCACAACTTTCCCCATCTTGGTTTCACTATATCACAGGAAGGCTTAAGAAATGGGAATTTTGGGGGGAGTTTTGAGGAAGCGTCAGACCAACACTCGTAAGACAGCAGACGATATAGAAAAACTAAAAACTGAGCTTCTAAACAGAAACTCAGAAATACATAAAGCATATGTGTAGTATTGTATAATATCAAGCCAAATTTTACAATAAGGTACTGTAAACATCCCATGAAAGCAAAAACAAAATTTAGACTTCTCTGGATTACAGCGATTTTCCAGATCACGGAGGTGCTGTGTCCCTGACCCCCACGATGTGGAAGGAAGGAGTAACTGGATGGACGATGGTCTGTCGTCATATTTGCTGCAGGCATCTAGTGACTTCCAGGGTACTTTCTCTAATTATTTCAGGCCCAGGCTTACAATCTTTCTCCCAGGGGTGGGGAACGCGGGGCCTCAAGCCACATATGGCCCTCTAGGTCCTTGGGTGCGGCCTTTTGACTGAGTCCAAGTTTTACACAACAAATCCTTCTATGAAGTGGATTTGTTCTGTGAAGTTGGGATTCTGTTACAGGGCCGCACTTGAGGACCTCAAGGTGGCAGGTTCCTGACCCCTGCACCGTCTTCTGCCACAGTAACCTATGGCCTCAAGATGTATAATCATTGCTTGGGGCCCAGTTTCTCTAGCCATCTCTCAAAACTATCACGATTCACAACAGGGAACACAGGACACCATGCCTTGCAGGCTGCTTACAACATAACCAGATGGTTCCAAGGAGGCAAGAGATATGGCCTAATGAACAGAAGACCTGAGAGGGCCATGGGAGAGGAACATGAGAATAGGGGGCGCTGTCCTGTGGAAGGAGTTTTGCTTGCCTCTAGAGGGCAGAATTGGAAGGAAGCAGTAAGTGACATTTGCAGAGTTTTAGGCTTGATGTCAAGAAAAACTTGCTGATGATCTGGGCTCTCCAGAAGTGACTCATCTACCCGGTGGCTCCCCTGTCCCTGGAGGGCTTCAGGAAGGTAGGATGCCCACCCACCAGAGTCAGAATAGAGGGGATTCTTGTAAAAGGCCCTGCCACCAGAGGCCATGTAATCTCCCGGCCTCTCCAGTCTTGAGTAGTAGGCCCGCTTCATAAATATGGAGTGGAAGGAAATTTCACTGGGACCTAATAAGAGGTCCAGTTCTAGGCATGTGATCCTCTGACCTTGGGCAAGTTCCTTCCCCACCCCAGGCCTGTTTCCTTTTCTGAAAATGAGGGGGAGGTGGGACTAGCTGCCTCTGAGGTCCTTTCCAGACCTTCACATGATCCCCCGTGGGACAGGGAGCAGTGACCTGATGATACCTGTCCCCCTCTGCCTGAGACCTGTGGCCTGTGTGCTACTGATCCTATTATCTTGGGTCTTACCTAAAGTTCCCATCTCTCCAAATCCTATGACAGTACCCTGTATATATTAGGCATCTAAGGCCTACATCTCTCCTCCTGGGCTGCCAGGAAGTCAGGAGCTCCTGGATATCTTTGGGCACACTGAAATTTTTCAGTGAGACGCTGGGTCTAACCTCAAATGCCAACACCCAGTTACTGAGTGTAGCATCCTAAGCAGAGCCTTGCGGGAGACCCAAAGACGAAAAAAGATTCAGTCCCTGTGTTTGAAGAATTTCAGTCTAGGAGGAAGCTTCCACGCAAGAGGCCTGGGAAACAGGAATGTGCTGGGTTTGAATCCTGCCTCTGATACTTAGGAGCTGTGTGACCTTGGACAAGTCCTGTAACTTCTCTGAACTTTGGTGTTCTTATTTATGGAATAGGGACAACAGTACCTAAGTCAGAGGGGTATTGTCAGGACAGATTGGGAATGTCTGTAACGCGTGCCTTGTGAACCCTAAAGCATCGTATAAATGTCAGCTCTTATTACTAATAAAAATTGATGGAATTGCATAATAACAGGCTTCATGTCTATGGTATTTAAAAGTTTACAAAATGCTTTATTTACAACTGCCCTGTGAAAATGGTAGATAGTATCATGGTCTCCTTTTGTAGATGAGAGAACCAAGGCCTGGAGAGATGCCCTGACTCCCAGTCCCAGGCTGAGGAGTGGGGGGAGCCCAAATCTTCTCACTCACTCTTCCCTAGGCACAGGATGCCCTCCCTTTCCCTCCCCTCTCCAGTGAAGCTATCCCTTATCACCTTCTCCAGGAAGGCTTCCCAGACCTACCTATGAGACCACCCCACCCTCCTGTGTCCTCTAACTAGCTCAGTGTATGAGCTCCCTGAGGGCAGAGAAGAGGTTTTAGGCCCATTCTATATTGTCTCTGGGTAGCCAGGTGAGGCTGCAGTGGATAGAGGGCTAGGCCTAGAGTCAGGAAGACTCTTCTCTCTTCCTGGGTTCAAGTGTGACCTCAGACACTTAGTAGCTGTGTGACCCTGGGCAAGTCACTTCACTTCGCTTCCCGTATGTAAAAGGAGCTGGAGAAGGAAATGGCAAAACCACTCCAGTATCTCTGCCAAGAAAATCCTAAATGGGGACAGATCAGACACGGCTGAAAACAACTGAACCACAAATGTTGTCCCTAGTGCCTAGCACAGGGACCTGCTCACAGCAAATACCCAACCAATGCTGCTCAGGTTTTGTTCCAATTCCATGACACCACTCTCCTCTCTCAAAGAGCCTTTGCGGGCTCTTTGTTTAAAAATGTCTATGTCCCCCAGTTCTGTCCTAGGCCTGCTGTAGTCTCCCTGGTGGCCAATCTTACCAGCTCTTGTCCCATTTAACAGAAAGAATTGTCATTTCTACAGCCCTCAAAGGGTTACAAAGCACTTTCTCCCTAGTCTGGGGTATGCTGGTAAATGTTTAACTGTCTCTAGGCAGGAAACACTTGGAAATTTATTCTGGATTAATAACATTCTTTAGTCTAGACCAAGGGCAGGGAACCTTTGGTTTTGAGGCCACATGTGGCCCTCTAGGTCCTCAAGCGTGGCCCTGACCTAGAGGGCTACATGTGGCCTCAAGGCCAAAGGTTCCCCACGCCTGATACCATCAACAAAACTATAAATCAAGCCCTGCTTTTTAGGGGTTGCTGATTTCCAAGGTGTAAAGGTTCACACTGAAAACTGAACAATCATTCCCAACTGTGGACTTGCATCAGCCCCTGGAAGGCTGCTGGAACTTCCATTTCAGGTCCAAACCTGACTGCTTTCCTAACCTGCCCCTCTCTGTTTGAGGCTTGGCTTAGGAACGTCAGAGGCATCCATCACTGGCTGGTCCACCCCTGGCATCACCACCCCCTTCACCACCCCATCACCAATTCTATCTCTTCTTATCCCCAGCATCCTTACTCCTAACTCAGATCCCCATTACTTCTTATTAGAACTATTACAGGAGCCTCCTAACAGTCAATCCATATGAATTTATTAAATGTCTCCTGTGTGCGAGGCACTGTGCTAAGCATTGGGGATACAAAAAGAGGCAAAAGTCAGGCCCTGCCTTCTAGGCGGTCTCACTCAATCTAAAGGGGCAGTCAACATGCAAACAAACGTATAGAAAGCAGGCTCTTATACAGGATAAACAAGAAATAATGAACAGAAGGAAGGCATCGGAATGAAGAGAGTTGGGGAGGGCTGCCTGGAGGAGGTGGGGTTTTAGGTGGGACTTGAAGCCAGGCAGGTTAGTGGTCAGGGCCGAGGAGGGGGAGCATTCTGGGCATGGGGGACAGTCAGGGAGAATGGCCAGAGCAGAAGAAATGGAGGGTCTTGTCAGTGGCCAGAGTCACTGAATCACAAAGCATGTAGGGGCTGGTGGTTACGAAGGGCTCTGAAAGCCAGATAATGTCTCAGGGCCTCCGTTCTTTGCCTCTGTTCTCTCCCTCCAAATGATCATCACACTTTCAAGGCTGCAAAGGGCTTTGCCAGACATTATCTCATTTGACCCTCATGACAACGTGTGAGGTATATTATCTCCTTCTTACAGATCAGAAAACCAAAGCTCATTGACAGTCTAGGATTTGCTCGGGTAACAATGCTAGCTTGTAAATAAAGAGACAGGATTAAAACCCAGGGCTCGGGCCAAGTCCCCCACTTCTGCCTTTATACTAAATCGCTTCCTACTTAACCAAACGCTTCAAGTGTGTATTCAAATTCAAATTCAGGGGGACTTTATTGAGTGCCTCCAAGTAGATGTGGTGGGGCTCCGCCTCACCTCGCCTCGCCTCCCCTCCCCCTGGGCCACCACACTCCAGATCTGAAGCCAGAGAGAACTCTTGCTCAGCCTTACAGGAAGGTAAGAGTGACCATACTGGGCAAGAAGCCCAGCCATAGGAGACCTCCTTGGGCCTCCTGCCCCAGCCAAACTCCCTTCCTCCTTCATTTCCTGTCCCTAAGCTCTGGAAAGCCCCTGGGCTGCCTTCCTAGACATTACGATTTCCTTCCCCTCAGGTACCAGCCAGGGCTCACCCCTCACCCCCACTTGTCCTGAAGCTGGTCTCATTATTTCACCTCCCTCTCCCTCCCCCCACAGCAGGACCCCCTAGGCCCCCTGCTTCCACCAAATGCCCTAAAAACTCTCCTTCCACTGACACCTAACGGTGCCTACATCACACCAAGATAAGGCTAGCCAAAGAGCCAACTAAGGAAGAACTTCAGCAAAAATAAGATTTGAAATTCCAGGCTTATAGTTCTGTTGTTAAGGCCAGAGAGTCATTTGTTAGCTCAAGTAAAAGCCCCAACTAGTATGTGTCCCCTCTACCAATACTGAACCACACCTCCAGCAGAGGGAGAGCATGGTACCAGAGAGTCCACTGGCTTCAGAGTCAGAAGACATAGGTTCAAAAGATGCTTCTGATGCGTATCACCTGCAGGAGCTTAGGCAAGTCACCTCTCTTCCTGGGCCTCAGTTTCCCCCCCTTACAGAATGGGGGTGTGGTGGCTTCTGAGGTCCCTTCCAGTTCTACAGTTGTGAAATAGACACATTCCCTCCTCCACTGACAGGAAGAATCCTATTGTAAGGAAAGCAGGAGACTGCCAAACCTCTGCTGAGGCTTTATCAACCAAGATCTTGGAGTGGTGGGGGACGCTACTGCTCAGGTGACAGCTGGACCAGGAGCCCTTTGAGCTCCCACCTGCCTCGGAGAATTTAGAAGGTGTCTACTGTATTATATATATATATATATATATTATATATAATATATAGTATATATCATATATACTACCTGATTGCAGAATTTGCTACTCAAGTCTTGTTTGGTGGATGCCCACACCCAAACACCCACTTTATACCCTGTTAGAAGGCCACCCTCCATGTTCACAGGACTTGGGGAAATTTCTAAACTCTACTTGCTTAATTACCCATACCCCACCTTCTCCTAGGCCCTAAAGAGATGGACACTTTTTTTTTTTTTGATTCAAAAGTAACTTATCGGGCAGCTAGGTGACACAGTGGCTAGAGTACTGGCCCTGGAGTCACGAGGACCTGAGTTCAAATCCAGCCTCAGACACATAATACTTATTAGCTGTGTGACTTGGGGCAAGTCACTTAACCCCAATTACTTCACCTCCCCCCCCCAAAAAAAGTGACTTAAAATAACTTCATTTTGAGAACCTTTTCTTCCTCTTTGAGACAATGTGATAGATGGCAAAAATGGTGGACTAGCAGTTGGTCAGTGCTACACACACACACACACACACACACACACACACACACACACACACACACGTATACTATATCACATATTTGATAATAGTTCTCTATATAGACACACCATAAACACACTTTCTGTGGACACTTACAAGCTAAAACTGCTTAATTTCCTTAGCAAGGAAAATCAATAGCAAACTTTATTAGCAAATGGTTCAGTCTTCAGTCCCAAAGGTTAAATAGGATTTTCCAGTATGCTTTAGGTGGCCTGGGCCTGGAGGACAGCAGGAGATTTGTGAATTCAAACAAAATGATGACATCCAGACTGCTTCTATTTATTTGGCACCAATGGCACCAGGACTGTGTTATAGGGGTTGCGGGGAGTGTGACATGTGAAACTCTGAGCAGGCTTCAGGCAGTTGGAGGGCGTTAGAGGGCTAGGGAGATAGGCCCCCAATGGGAAGGAAGAAGGTGCCCAAGAACAATCCTGGCCCCTTCAAATTTCCCAAGGGTCTTGCTCTCCCACCCATTTGTTATACCTGTAGCCATGTGCCCACACTTCCACTGAGAAGCACTGCAGGCTGGTGAATAAGGGGAGAAGAGTGGCCCCAGGGCTAAGACCCAGAATGAGCCCAATGACAAAGGGCCTTTTTTTTTTTTAATGCCATGTTGGGGATAGCTGGGGAGGGGCCAGTAGGCCTAATGCCAAGACCACATTTCAGCAAAGATGCTGAGAAATCAGAGTGGAGAACAGGAGAGTAATCTGGCTAAAGGACGTGTAAGATTGTTAAAGACTAGAGAAGAAAGGAGGGAAGGGGCAGTGGAAGTGCTAGCTAGCCTCAAGTATTTGAAGGGAAGTGGCAAAGAAGGATCTGACTTGGTGTTTTGGCTAAATTAGGTGCAGTGAGTGGAAGCTGCAGGAGGGCAGATTTTGGCCCAGTTGGAATTGTCCAAGATCAGAATGGGCTGTCTCCAGAGGTCAGAGGATCACAGGATTAAGAGCCAAAAGGGATCTTGGAGATCGTAATCCAACCCTCTCCTTTTACAAATGAGGAAACCAAGGCTCTGACTTGCCCAAGGCCATCCAGTTCAATGGTTACTCAGTCGCTACTGGAATCAAGGTCCTCTAACTACGAGTCTAGCACCTTTCAGGTCCTTGAGTGGATGACCTCGGTGTTGTTGGGAATGCTGATTCCTGATCAGGTATGAGCTGGACTAGATGGTAGGAACCATCTGACCTGACCTCAAGATTCAGACAGATGCCTCCTATATACCCAGTCACTGCATCCCATACAAACGGCAGGCCTACCTGCCTGTTCCCATTGTCCTGCCTGCTTCTCTCGCCGAACCACTAAAGGAGATGTTCGTGTGATTTGCATATGATTTGCATGGAGGAAGCCTAGCCCTAAAGAGAGGTGAGTTCCTCTCTCCTTGCCCTTGAGGGTTATGCTCTCTGGGGGTGGGGGTGGGGGTGGGGGTGGGGGTGGGGCCGACTGTGGAAACTGGGAGACCACAGAGCCCAAAGCATCACCATAGCAACTGGAGAGCCTTCAGGGTTCTGAGGAAGAATTAGGCTAATTTCTGGAGTGGTTCAGCCAGAGGTGCCAGGGGCTAGGCCGAGTTCTTCTTTCTCCCATTTGTATCTTCAGGCCGCCTCTATGCCCATTTGTGAGGCAAAGCAGGGAGACACAGAGGTCTAAGGAGGTTTGATCAAAGAAGACTAGCAGGTCATAACTTGTGAGCCTCCCAGGTGAGGCTTCGAGGGAGGATGCCTGGCCCCACTTCAGCCTTTCCCAAGGCTGTGTAGAGGCAGCTGGGGGCATCACAGTGCACAGAGCCCTGGGGCCTGGAATCAGGAAGACCTTGGCTCAAATCTGATCTCAGATACTTACTAGCTGTGGGACCCTGGGCAAGGCACGTAACCCCCGCTTGCCTCAGTTTACTCAACTGTAAAATGGGAATCATAACAGCACCTACGTCCCCAGGGCTGTTGTAAGGAACAAATGAGAAAATATTTGTAAAAAGTGCTGGGCACATAACAGGTGATCAAACGTTTAGTCCCTCCCCTTCCCCACTCTTATGGAATGATGCCTACCCTCAAATTCTTTCTGCCCGTTCATTGGCCCCAAATCGAAGCCAGGCCTGGAGGAAGATCAGCCCGGGGAAATTGGGGGGAGGGGAATGGGGTGGCAGGCCCCGGGGAGCCCAAAGAGGAACGAGAGCAAGCGTAAGGAGGAAAGGGGAAGCAAAGCGCCACAGGTCTCTCTCTTGCCCTGAGTTCCCGACCCTGACCGTGACCTGGACTGGGAGCCGGACAGCAAAGACGGCCTCCTGCCCTTCTCACCTTTGACCTGAGATTCATAGTCAGTCAGCGATCCCCGGTCCTTCCTCAGTTTGCCGTGAGAGGCCATGACCGTGACAGTGGAGACGGCGATGGCAGATGGCGCCTCGGGACGGGTAGCGCTGCGGGGAGCGGAGGCTGGCGAGCGCTCCCCGCTTCGGCCGAGGTCGCCACTCCGTCTCTCCGACGGTCGGACCTAAGGCTTCGGGCTCCGCACGTGCTCCCGCCGGGGAGAAGGGGGGCACGCTGGCCCCAGAGTGCCACCGCTGCCTGCCAGTCTGTGCACCCTGAGCAGGCTCCCCTCTCTCGCGGCCCCGGGTCTGCCCCTCCTCAGCTCAGCGCCCAGTGGGGCCCGCCGAAGTCAGAGAGAAAACAGAAATGAGATCGGGGAGGGAAGCAGGGGGAGGGGAGGGCAGGGGAGAAGAGGGGGAGGATCCGGGGCCCAAGAGGGGAGGGGCAGCCAGGAAGATGCTTAAGCTTTGGCTCGTCCTGCTCGATGTGCAGCTAGTGCCGGCGAGTGGCCGCCCCCTCTAACAAGGGTCCGAGGCTGGGGCACCCACTCTCACAGTCTCTTCCCCCACCCCCAGACACACACCCGGTTTGCTACTCAAACCCTGCTGTAGGGCAGTTGAACTAACCCCACCTCCCCACACACACACACCCCCACAGACCCAGTTGCAGAGGAGGAGACCCGCCGTCAGCCCCCTGGGGGGGAGAGGACTGCATAGGATTATTCCAAAGGGTCAGAGGCACTTCCTTTCCTGAGCTGGACCGCAATTTTGGGTGACAGGAGAGTTGGGGTGCAAGTTGATGTGCCCCTTGCCACCCAGTGCCCCCATCCCCCTTTGGGGTGTGTGAAAAGCTGCTTTATTTCTGTCCTCCCCGCCCCCCCCCCAAGGTGGTAACCACTTCCTGCCAGCGGAAGGAGCTCTTCTGCCTCCTCTGACAACCGTTGGGGCCCTGGCCCTCCTCCTAAGTGGGGGGGGGGGGAAGGAGGGGGCACAGAAGACTGCTGGCCAGTGGGCACCAGACAGGACCCTAGCAAAGTGGCTGGGGCCTTTTAAATAAGTTGGAGAATTCCTCCCTAACACTCCCACCCCAGGACCCCAACCCCATCTCAACCACTATCCTGGGCCACGAGGGTTAGAATCAGCCTCACAGCTACCCCAAGACTGGGGACGAGAAGGGAAGGAAGTCTAGATTCAGGCACAGAAGGACCGGAATGAGCTTGCTTCCCGGTTCCTCTGACTGTGAAGGGGATCGGGCCGTGTAGGAGGTGAGGAGGAAGGAAGATGGGAAGGCAATGAGGGAGCACAGAATGAACCCCACACGTTTTGTGTTCCTGGAAATCTGTAATCAACACCATCAACCACAAAGGGGAACCTCTTCTCTTCCCCCCCCCCCCCGCCCCTGCCCACGATCAGCACTGCTCAAGGACGACCCCTTCGGGGGCCCCACTCCTTCATCCAGAGGCCCCCTAGTGGCGAGCAGAGGGCAGCTGCCCAGGCTCCAGGAGCCCCAGGCCTTGCAGGGCTTCCATCAGCTGGTCTCGGGCAGCACCTATGAAGGAGTTCTCCAGGAACGCAGGGAGTCCTCCGACCCCATCCCGAAGCGTGTATAGAGGCACTCGCACGAGCCCCAGCACCTGCGGAGACATTGGCAGAGGAAGGGGGGTGGGGGAAGGGAAAGGAGGAGACAGTGACTTGCGGACTCAGGGTTCCGTCCTACCCCACCTGTCCAACTACCCCCCTCCCCCCAGCTGAGGATGGGAGGGCCAGAACGGGGCAAGAACAATGCAGTAGCCCTGGCCAGGGGCCGGCCAGCCTGTTCTAAGATCTCGAGAGATAAGCACCTGGGGCCCCGGCAGCCCCTCTACTTTTGGACAGTCCAGTATTTCTCCAGGAGCATTTCTCCTCCCTCTCTCCAACTCCCACCCATTGATCTTAGATCTGCCTTCTGGGACCACGCTGACCAAGCCCAATCTGCTCCCTGCCCTCAGACTCCAGGAGAACCTTCTCTTCTCCAGAATGTTTCATGCACCCATCCACCCACCCCCCACCCTTCAAAAGACGATCATTCGGGATGACCTAGAGATCGTCAGTCTCTAAAGCGACCACGGAGCCTGGCGCCTATGGCCTGAGCTCAACGGGATATAGAATCAACCAATCAGAGGGTGGGAAGATGGGTTGGATCCCACCCTCTCCTCGATAGCCAATAGTGGGGCTCGTCTCCAGCACAACCACGCCTACCCTCAGCCCCCCCTTCCCCATTTTGCCCCCTCCTCCGACTACGTAAACTCCCAACCTCCCCCTTCCGAGTTATCCCACAAGCTAACTGACTTTATATTCTAAACTCCATTCGGGTACCCACGGGGCTATCAGGAAAATCCCCTTCCCCTAACCCCAGCGTAACCCGTATCCCCACACTTCCCAAGGGCAAGGACCAGCAAGAGCCCCACCCTTCACCTTTTCTTTTTGGGTGGGGCAAAGAGGCTCACGTGAATAGCAGATAAGGATGGGCTGCGATCTGCATCTCAGATCTCACTGCATCATCTTTGCCCCGACCCACTCTTCTCCCAGTCACCCAGGTTCACAATCTCCAAGTCACCCTCCCTCACCCCACAGATCAGTCAGTTGCAGGTCTCACCATTTGTACCTTCACAACAGCTCTCCCATCTGGCACAGCCACCACCTTAGCTCAGGCTCTCCCTGCCTCAAGTCTCTCCCTATTCCAGTCTACCCTCCACAATGCTACCAAAGGAATTTTTTTCCTCAAGTTCGGGAACTGACCGTGTGGCTCCCCTATTCAATAATTAACTACTGTCCTCTTGTTACTTTTTAAATGCTCATACGACATAGCCCAACCTACTCTCTAGCCTCATTGGACATGACTTCCCCTCCAGAAGTTTTCGATCCAAGCAGACTGGCTTTTCTGTGTTCCTCCCTCACAATACTCCATCCCGGTCTTTGCACTGGTCAGACCCTGCACCTGGAATTCATTCCCTCCCTGTCACCTGACTCCCACTATTCCTTTAAAAAAAGAGGGGCAGCTAGGGGGTGCAGTGGATAGCGCACGGACCCTGGAGTTGAGAGGACCTGTATTCAAATCCAGCCTCAGACACTTACTAGCTGTATGACCCTGAACAAATCATCTAACCCCGATTGCTTATACCCCCCCCCAAAAAAACCGCAGGTCAGACAGCATTTTCCGCATAAAGCTTTTCCTGATGCCCCCAAATGCTAGTGCCCTCCCTCCCACATATTTAACTGTGTGAATGTGTGTACATAGATATCTATGTGCTTTATAGATTCTTATCTGTACTTGTCTCCTCCATTAGAACAGAAGCTCTTTGGAGGAGAAATTGTTTCACTCTTTGTACCTCTATCCGCAGTGCCTCGTACAGTGCCTGGCACATTAATAAGCACTAAATTAAATTATTGATTGATTGAATCACTTTTCTGTCTCCTTCAAAGGTTCCTTGTCCTTTCACTGACCCCCTGATGCACTTCCCCATGGGTCTGGCTGAGCCTTCAGTTTTCCCTTCCCTGGCTATCTTATTCACTCTGACAGTTTCAATGGGCACCTCCTTTCCGATGACTTGCAAATATATACACCCCACCTAGACCTCCGAGGCCACATTTGCAATTCCCTAAAGGAGATTTCCAAATGGCCAAAACTAAGCACATCACTTTGTTCCCAAAGAGTGCTCCTTCTTCCCTCTGTCTATGGCACCCTGTCTCCTGTATTCATCAAATTCACAAAATCCCCCAGGCCACTTAGCCCAGCCCATACCTCAGAGGGAATCCCCCCCCAAATCAAAGTCAAAATACCCACCAACCCACGTGCCTACTTTCCCATCTGTACAAAATCTTGATAAGGATAAGCCATAAGACATCAAAGGGGATCCTTGAGGATGGTATGAGAAGGGAACTGGCAGGATTTCTGAAACAATAATATTCTTCACCCAGTGACATCTTTATGATCACACAATTAACTGGATGATGTAGAGAAAAGGAGTTTCTCTTGTGCACAGACAGGTTTGTTGGGTTTTTGACTATTTTTGAAGAAGTGTTTGCCCCTATGGTAGGAGGGGCCTGGGGATGGGAAGGTGTAAATATCCTTGTGTGCTTCCTGATTCCATGTCTGGGTAGTCACACCTGTAAACACCTGTTCAAGGAGT